CCCCCCGGCTTTTTTTTTTTTTTTCTTCCCCCCCTCCTTGAAAACCCGAGGGCGAAAGGCTGCCTCCTGCCTTGTGCTTTTTGTCTTCCCTGCAATCTGTGTTTTCTGCAGCAGAAGAGCGATATATACCCGGGTTTGGTTTGGGGGTTTGTTTGTTTGCTTTTGTTTTTTTTTGGTCTGAAATTTTACAAAAGAAAATGTATCACAGTCCTTCCAATGCTCTCTCCACTTCCTGTGACAAAACAAAACATACTTAATTTGAAACTTATTCTTCCTCTATTTCTCACTGATAAATAATGCCCAAAAAAGCACGAAAAAATCACCTCAATTTTTAACTCTGTGATAAAATCAGCCCCGTGTGTTTTCTGTGCTGTTTCTGAGCCTGGAACAGCAGGGTGCCAGCTTGCTGATTTAAAAGAGCTCCAGTAAAAATCAAGCAAAGACTAACTTATCACGCAGGACGATTTAAATGTCGAACACAAAGGGCTCAATGTCAGGCTGCAGGTTAATTCCCACCCAACTCTTTTAGTCCTCCCAGCCCTGAACAGCAGCCTGCTGCTCGGCTGAAAACGCTCCGCACGGGCTTATTTTAAGAACAGAGGCAAAAACGCAGCCGAAACGGGTAGGGTTCGATAAATTCAAATTTTGACTCATCCATTTCTCTGATGCATGGTTAAACACGCTATCAGTTGTACTAATATTTGCCGCTCGGCGAAGCCGACGAGTAACCCCACTCGCGAAATTTAGAAAAATCATTTTAGTTTGACTCATGTGGAAAGAGTGAAACACCAAGACTCCCCTGAAAGGGGGCTCTACGTGATGCTTTTAATACGCCCTTCGCCGCCTCTGAAGAAGCCAGAATATTGGACACTTGCACACACTAATTTATAGCATTTCTAGGCAACAGGAAGCTGGAGACTTCACATTCGTGAAGAGCAGCATAATTTTGCTGCTGTTTAAACTGCGTTTGGGCATTCAAAGACGACCGAGGAAAGGAAGAGAGAGCCTGAACTGAGATTGATCTAATTTGGTGCTTTCACACTTTTTTAAGCTAATCAGTTTGTTTAACGGCTTGGAGAAGAATTAGAGAGCTAATTATGCTGATCGCCTTGTATCAGCAATTTTGCCCTCGGATTAATTGTGCTGTAACACAGTGAAATGTAACAGCTGTCTTGAAAACGAAACCCACCTGGAAAATCACACCACGAGTTTCAGACAGGTTGAGCAATGGCTTCTGTGCAAATTCATTTGAAAAAATTAACCAATCCACCTTACGACGGAGATTTGGGGCTATTTGCTGCTGGAGTGGGGCTGGTAACATTTAAGCCTGGGGAACAGAAAAGTGAGAGTTTTCTGTGCCCTCACCCTCAGC